AGGCAATATTAGTTTAGTGGTCTGGGACCACCGCGGAAGAGACAATGTCAGTGATACTGTTAAAGATCAAAGTAAGCCTTCTAAATTCGGGATAGCCTGTGGCAAGCAACGCCCGATTTTAATGCTTCTACAGACCTACAGTCCATAAGAAATTGGTTTTAAAGATTTACCTCATTCCTTCAACAATGTGATTCAGGAACAAGTCGTACCACGGCCCAAATTCGTAATCAAATTTCCTAGCCAAGAGCGGGAATTCCTGTAATAGATTTATACTGTTTAACAGTTATGTAATAATATTTGATCTATGTAGTACGTAATACAAAGAGAAACGAGACCGGAGATATATCCAAAATCTTCGGTCTCGTAGAAGAACATTCTACACAAAAATCACCGAATCACATGACCCCCAATAGGCTCACGTGATACGACAGTAAACCAAATAAAGCCCCTCAAGGGTGCTGAACCTAATTATCAGGTAAGGTAAATGTAATCCTAAAACTAAATAAATCACCGCAAGATTCCCAAGTCACAAGTAAACATTGCTAGACAGGTATTTAGTAAGGTAAACACATAATAGCCCTGTGATTCCGCTGTTAAATAGCCTAGTTACACGCGTAGTAACACGTCAATATACGATAGCACAATAACAGGTCACTTAAGGTACAGTTAGTGTTACGGCATGGTCAACGCACACATAACGGACACTCAATCCACGATAAAGGCACAGTAAAGACACGTTTAACGCCTAATATGGTTACTTAAGGAACGGACACTTAACGGTAACCGTGCCTTTAATTAAGTGACCATCGATAGATTACCAAATTGCCCTTACCTGATATCGTCCCCTTATCAGAATCAGATGAACTTTCCTCTCGATATCCATTCTGACCTAGATTCTTCCGAAATAATGGTTCTGGCGTAGTACTCTTCTCAGAATTCATTGACTGACCTGATAAAATCAGGTCATAATTATATTATTACATATTATTGAAAATTATTAAATACTTTCTACTAGAGGGACCTCGACCACAAAGCCATTATTAAACCTTGGCAGTCGGCAACACTCATTCAGAGTAAGCTGCAAACCTAAGGACTAGATAGATAGGTAGCAAGAATTAGTACAAACGGAACATTATTTTGATCATTGAACACGGGCAATTCATTGTATTTTCGTTTCGTGTGTGGGACTGTGGGACATCTCTCATATCACGTCCGATGAAAGTGGACACACTACGAGACTTTGTTTGTGAGAGATTTCTCGGATTGAGTTATCGCAGTCTGATCGAAACTCTTATGCCTATTGCCCGTATTCCGTAATGTTTTAACTTGTCGGGTCCATTACAAATAACTCTATTAATATTATAATAATCATACCTTTTGAGATAGACTGAAGTATTATTATATCTCTATATCCAGCTATATCGTCCACGTTAGTTTCGATTCGATCGAACTCTGAATCAGATTCGGACTCACTCGACTCTCTTTCGGTATCCATTATTTCTTGTATCTCTTGATTCGCTAAATAAAAGTAGTTTCAGATGTTTAAAAAATCCATAACTAAAGATCGAGCTTTATTCATCAAATTCGATCGAAATGTTAATTAGTACTGTAACATTGTAATTAATGCAGATGGCATAAAAGTAAAACGGGTAAAGAAAATTTAACGGTTTTTAAATCTAAAGTACCGCACGCTGGAAAGTATTTCCAGTGTAATTGTAGCTGCAATTCACGACCGACCTATGAATTATTATTATTCGTGCCAAAACATATAAATATATTTGATATTAAAAATAAACTATATAAAGCGTGTTTTATTTAAACTTCAACATTTTTACTCACTCGTATTCGTAAGGAGTATTTCCTGATCTCCTTGTGAGAATTAGAAGTAGAAGTTTCTTCGGTAGAATTCATACTCGCAGACTCCATCTTTAACTAAAAAGTACAACTTTACAAGTAAAGCCAGTAACCACATAAATCAACAGTCGAAAGCGGAATATTTGTGGTTGATAAAGTAATGGTGTTAACAGGGAATAATAGAAACCTGTGGTCAATTGTTAAAATACGTGACTCATAAGTTCGGAAATACAGGAATGGGTGTTTTAAAACTTCGGACGAATCTGAACTATACTATGGACAAGTTTAAGCGGATGGTCTACAAAACGAAAATTATGCTGACTGCTGACGGCATAAGTATGTGGCCCTACAGAACAAAGAAGAAAGTAGTATCAAGTATGATGTAGCATTTATAAATTCGGAAAACGTACTGTAACAATTTAAAGCAATGCGGAAGCTTTTTTATGCATTGACGTGCGACCAACATTGGTTGATCAGGCGTTGATCGCGCTTTGAAATAGTACACAAAGAAATGATTCTAGATTGAGCTCTGGAAATCTAATTTTCGAGTGGAGCTCTTGTGGAAGAGGTATTGCAAATTAAGGCTGCCTGGTATGTGAAACTGTGGAAGAGGCTGAAAAGTGAAAAGATTGCGGAGAACATTGGTCCTAGCTGTTTTATCAAAAATTGTGTTGCGACTGTGCGCGGCGTTACTGCGCATTTACAAAATATTTGTGCAAATATGGCAAAATCATTGATCATACGTTGTCAATGATAAATCGACGTATAAGGTCTACTTAGTTCGACTGACGGTGGGGCGCCAAATTTGTGTGCTAGTTGCGGCGCAGCCACTGTGAGCTTATATTGTCAATCATATCAAACATTAGATATTTGTCCTGGCCTCGGTCTCACAGAACTACAAGCTGGGAATGATTGACGTTGTCAACTAAGTTTATTTTAGCAAATACAATGTTGAACAACAAAGCAAAATGGTTATTAAAACTTTGCGCCTGGCATTTCATAAAACTTTTTTGTTTGAATTAAATAATTATTTTAGGAATTATAGGAATTATAAAAATTTGTTTTGCTATTTATATTGACCGATCCAAAACTGCGTTGTCAATCGAGTCCAACTCAGCACACGTTTTAAAAGATTATAAACTTACTAGCTATATATTGTGCGGAGTATTAATAAAATTTTGTTTTGCAAAAACTCCAACATTTTTTGTGCCTAAATTATGTTAAAACGATGTTTACAATATTATTTTGTTCTATTGCTTTTTATTTCGATACATGTTCAATGACTTGTAATCTTGTATAGCAATTATTTGCATTTGAATCTCCACTTCTGACTTCTTGACTCCAACAGGACTTTTTATGCTTTATAAGCACTTCCAAACGAAACCTATCAGCTCAAACATGATCTGAAACAGAAGGTGGCATTTTCGTTCCGGTCCGCTATCTCATAATAGTAATAACAATAGTAGTTGAATGCTTAAATAAAAAACCTTGATTTATGGTTTTATAAACTGTAACTATTCCATGCCAAAAAGTTTTAGGATTCCAGTTAAAATGGATTTTAATACGGCTTTTGCTCTTATAGAGTATATGAACATGTTTGGCCAACTGATTTTGAAGTTATAGTTCTGTTAACACAGTTATCCGGTTCTCAAGCGATGATAAACAGGGCTATCCCGTTAATAAGCAATGCTATCCGGTTCCTCATTAGCATAAAAAGGTGCTGAATGGCTCCTAAACAGTGGTCAGTAGTTGTCTAGGGGCTAGGTGGCCTAGTGGTTAGAGCATCCGCCTTCTGCGCAGAAGGTTTGGGGTTCGAATCCCAGTGTCACCTAGTCTAGGGAGTAGCTAAGGATCTTCTCGGTGTACTTAGCCGAATGATAGGAAACTGAATTGAGGGTTAAAATATGAGGAAGGGTACCTGTTGCAAGTTCAAGAAAGAAGGGATGCCCCTTCAGTGTATACTGTAAACATAGTACTATTAAGGGGGGGGGGGGGGTTCACCCTGATTTTTTGTGAAACTTGGTTTCGAGATAGCAGTTGACCAACAAACTAGAACCGGTGACCGAACTTTTGAGGGGGTCCCCGACCCCAACCGCCAAACGGTGCCCGCGGGGCAGCAACGCCCATATTTGGTCTAAATTAGGCTCAATTTAGCCAAATACCCTGAACATGCCCAAAACCCAGATTTAATGTGCTCTACTTGTAGCTAGTGGTCCCCTGAACAAGTATATGCATTTTCATCACGATTGGGCAAAAAATGACTGAGTTATGAGCCAAAAACCATACGACCATATTTGGGCATACGCACCAAATTTGATCGATTTTGGCCCATAAATTGGTCAAATATCAATATTTTTGAATGAAACCAACTTTATATGAAAGGTGAGCTTATACTACACATTCTCTGTGATTATCAGCTCAGTATCTACCTAACTGTGGATTCTGTGTTCAAATAATTACAAAAAATGAACAAAATCGTCCATATCTCAGTACGCGATATTTGCAAAACTGATTTCGCTCAAAACAATAGAACTCAATAGGGTTTCAATATGTTTACATGAAATTTTCAGAACCAACGTAGAATCGCATTTCGACCTTATCTCTTGTATTGAAATTTTGAGTTAGGCCTTTAAAAAAATTTGGCGGCCAAATTCTGAAAAATGCCTGGCAAATTTTGGAATTTGGCCGCCAAATTTTTTTAAGTTCCCTTAACTATTATCAACTATTGTCTGATTAGCCATGCAAACCACGGTACTATACTATTTACCATCTAACATGTGGTTAATAGATGCTTGTGGTCGATCAGGGTGAATATATTAGAAGTAAATTACAATTTTATTGTGCATATTTTATATATTTGTAGAAGCACAGTATATTATATAGCTTATTCCTACGAACTGCTACATCACTACTTATATGGGATCCAAATTCAAAGTCATTTGTGTGATACAATGAAACTCTGATTTGGGCCGATTTTCCACAATCACATAATGGGCTAATTTACATGTATGACAATGTGACATTTTGTTTCCCTTAATTGCTCACCCTCTTCCTCCAAAACAAATCGTAAATGATCCAAAAGCACCTACATTCCACAACTTTCAAACTTCCAGCACTGTTACAATGTTTACTGTATTACATTTCAACATAAATATACTAAAAGTATTTTGTCTAGATCTTAGGAAATGTGGCAGTAATCAAGTTATGGAAACTCTTAGCGTAAAAATGAAGTCAATGAGTGGTATTTGGAAAAGAAGATCGTCAATGACAAACTTATCAGCAGTGACAAACATAAACATAACACCTGAGATAAATAAGCCTATGCTTCCAGCCAAGTAAGTTTCTTAAATGATGTTAATATGTCTACAGCAAATAAAAATTATTATTATTTAAGTACTTGTTTTTCACTAATTTGAAAAACCAATATAACTATATATAATTTTTTTTTCAAATAATTCGAAATTGACGCAGTTACAGTCATTTTGGAGATAATCTGAACATTTATCGATTCGTGATGGTTCAAACTCTCACTTGGCTGACATATTGTGACCATTACAGTCATTTTCATCCCCTTCAATATCTCCATATCTACCTTGCTCACTCTTTTAAGGGTGTTACCGGGACATCACGTTGGCGCTCAGAATTGCTGTGGCAAATTGGTTCTTAATTTTATGCCGATTGTTTATATATTGTCCCTTATTGTTCATAACACTTTAGATGACGTGAAGCTGCTGAGTCATTCAATTAGCATATCAATATGCGTACCTTTGATGCTTTCTCAGTGTAAAAATCCTTTTTGTTGTTCATGATAATCCAAGTACGAAACATTAGAAACTACCAATCTGTAATGGTATAGGTACACTTCAGATATAAATCTAGGGAGAAATCAGAATTAAGGTAAGCCTTGCAGTATAGTTTCTTGAGTCCAGGATGCACGTGGACGCATGACAGTCCTTCCTTTAGGATCTTCTCACTGAGGGTATCATAATTCCTGTCATTAAATCCTATTATAACATCGTAGTCTCTTGATTTATTATAAACCCTCATAGACGGCTTTGGGGTAAATGATCCAGATAAAGGATCCAGAAAGGTTCCCAGATTCAGAGTGGTTTGAATTTTCACTACCATGCCCTCTTCCTTACCGATGAACTTTTCGCATTTTTTTTTGTCGGGAATTGTGATATTACCGGTTAAGTAATCTGTATTTATCCATATTTCCGGAGGATACATCTTCGGATAGACTTTGATCACACCGCAGACCTTTTCATGACTCACCCAATCTGTCTTTTGACATACAGTGCTGCAATACTTCACTAACATACAGGCTCCACATTTCTTTAACTTGATCCCAGTTTTGCCGCATGATACACACTCCTTGGCCTGACACTTCTTGGCCTGATCAGAATTTGAACTATGTGCTTCTCCCATTTTTACTGAATCATGACTCCGTTCTTTTCTACATTCATCTTTATGGCTTTTCCAGGCCTTCTTCTGGCATTGAACATTACAATACCGAACTGATTTACAGGCAGCACATTTCAGTAAATCCAGTCTTTTCTGACCACAAAAGCCGCATATGTTCTGAACCAAATTTTCCATCATTTATTCAGTCAAACCGCTGAGTAATTGTAACTATTATAATTATATAGGTTATATAACAAATATTTATAGGAAATTTAAACTTTCACAGCTTACACCGTCATAATCATTGTTAAGTATTTCATCTCGGGGGTACGACATCGGATTTTGGAATCCAAAGATTCCGTAAAAATTCGTAATTCGGGTCGCTCTACCTCAGCCATAAGAACAAAGTTACTAAGTCTAGGTAATCTAGAAGTTAATAGTAATTAAGTAGGAGCCAATTGCTGAACTGGTCGACTCAACAGACAGCAAAAATATTTCTAGGGATCAAACGTATTGTTGTCATTGACTGCTGTCAAAAAAGTGCTATAATTAGAAATATTGAATAAAACGAAGGAAATGATCTTCAAGAAATCAATTGAAAAGAGTAAATTACGTTGCGTATACGCAGCTTGCACCGACAAACAACAAACACTACACACGGAACAAGTGCAGTAAATGTACGAGTGTCATATTACGTAAAATAACATGTAGCTCTATCTGTGTAGACTATTAAACGACAATGACGTTTCTCTTGTCGCTAATAAATATCATAACATCTACATTATTGTTTTTTTCAGAAATGCCACAGTTGATCTTCGCTCTGAGATATATGACTTAAAGAAGCAGCTGGAAGACAAGGATAACGAATTGAAGGAGCAGCAACTAATGATGAAGGATTATATTATTAACAGAGTAAGCAGTCTCGTAGTTTTTAAATCGTGTCTCTACTTTAATGAACCTTTCCGTTCAGGCATCAACTTAACTTGCCGTTGAATGAATAATTATGAGCTAGTCCAGAGCTCTACCGGGATCCCGGCGAAGCCGGGATTTGGCGTTTTTGTCCCGGTCCCGGCCGGGATTACCGTTTTGGCCGGGATATTAGCCGGGATTTTTAAAAGTTCAGAATTTCGATCTTTTTAATCCAATTTAGCTTCAAATTCATATTTTATTACTTTGACTTGTACAAATGAAACGACTGTTAAGAATCAAACTAATCGAAATGAAAATCGAAACTCGAATGGATTGATTAGATTTCAGGCTCATCTTCATCCGAAGATATAGATGTTTCATTTAAACATAGAACTATCGCGAAAATCCCGGTCCCGGCCAGGATTGAGCTCATCCCGGTCCCGGCCAGGATTTCAGTTTCATCCCGGTCCCGGTCCCGGCCGGGACAAAATTCCGATCCCGGAAATGGGAGTTAGATTTTAACTTTATAATCTTGTAGCATAGGGGTACATAGTACTTAGTCACTTTTCCCTTGAAGTTTCCTAAGCTTGGTCCCAAGTAAATATTTATCTATAATATTAATAATATAAATTAATATTTCAGATCAATATAAGTCGAGATCTCTCAGTTGAGGATCAGATAGCAAGTCTCAAGAAGGAGCTTAGAAAGCTTGGTTATGAGGAACCACAAATAATCAGACCGTCCACCCCGCCTGTTTCTCTTGAGGTAACTGAACATTACCAATGGTAGCAGGTTTTACAGAAATGTATTCCTGGTTTTAACTGATTGTTTAGTTAAATCTTTAAGATAGGATCTTTAAAATAGAATATATTTCAGATTTACAAATTTACATTAATTTCTCGACACATGCTTATGTTTATAGTGTTGTTTATAGTTTTGTTTATGGTTTTGTTTATAGTGTTGTTTATGTTAATAGTGTTGCTACAGGTCGATCAGTATACTTTAGTTTTATGCTGGTATGGTATAATTATTTCTCATAGGATCAGATAAATTTAATAGAGCATTTCGTAATATCATTATGTACAGTTGCTGTGTAAAATGTAGATCGGCAGTTTAAAAGAAATAAATACAGTTAGACACAATAGAAAGTGTGTGTTTTGTGACTATGCTTATGAAAAATCAAACTTTACGTCTACTGATGCCGTATTACACTGTAACTGCTCAGAGATGATCAGCTATTTATCGGTATTTCTGAGTAGGTACGTTATAAACGATATTAACTAATTTCTACTTTAGGAGAACCAGAGACTGCAGACAGAAGTTAGGAATTTACAGCAAGCTTTACAGAAATATGTATGTTCGTTGTTCATCAATTCATAACTCCATGTCTTTTAAATATTTCGGTCATAGATTAGAATCCTGACGACGTAACCATATCATAACCATGTTACAGCTCGGTTATAACACAGTTGTGACATGGTTATGTCGTCGGCCCGTCGGGATTCTAGTCTATGATCTTTATTTCTTCAGAGTAATTAAAAATACTTATTTTTGGATCACATCACGTTATGATTGTTGAATGTTGATCTTGTACTGAAAAATATAATTAAGTTAATAGTTTATTTTCTTCTCTAACAGGAGAGGTTGCACAAGACAAGGATTCAGAAGTTAAAAACGGGTCATGCAGAAGAGGTAGCCACGTTAAATCTTGACATTTTCGAACTCAGGGACCAATTGAGGAATCAAAACAAAGGTGAGCAAAATATTTCCTGAATGCTCGGCCAGAAATTCACTATCCTAATTTCTGTGTCAGGGCTCTCGGTTATCTGAGAAGCCCATTTCATTTGACGATACTTTTTAAGTATTGAATATACGGCTAAAATACTCGCATTATGGAATAAGATATGAAACAGATTTACATGTTGATCATTAAGCTTGGCATCAAATATGCTTGCGAATCATACAAAAATTGTAGCAAGCGTATGTGCCTTACGATCAACAGTAATCTTGTTATCATGTAATCAAAATTTCCACAGTTAGTTGTATTACAGAACTTTATCAGTATTCTTCTTGGGTCATATTATGTAGAACAGCTCAAACAGATCAGCAACTGGAACTGTATTCTGAAGGATTAACAATTTTGAGTTGACATTTTAATTTCAGAAAACTCCAACACAGACTATGGTCTAGTTATCGAATTAAGTACTCAAGTTTCTATGCTGAATGCGGAGATAGAGAGCCTACACGAAGAACTAGCAAAATACGGAAAGAAGTCTTAAGAATGTAAAAAAAGACGATTGAAATGAACAAATTGGTTTCTTATGTTGATCTTCCGTAGATAGTGGGAAGATTCTTCGAACTTGTAAAATAATTATTTTTTATTTAATCAGTCAGAGTATCATCATAATAATTTATACTGTTTTTAATTTAATCTTTTATCAAAATAACAGAGATCTAAAATAATTGGCAAAACTTTAGTTTTGCTGTAAGAATGTTTGGGTGAATGATGTTGACTGAAACCTGTAAATTAGTTTTTAAAATTTGATAATTGTCGCATATACTTCATTTCACTACTTCTTGAGAAATTATGTTGATGTTGTAATCGTCTGTGAGCAAGGTTCTCATTCCGAAATATGTGCAAGATTTCCGAAAAACAGTTCCCGTCCTTCATTCTCTAAAATTTCGTCATTTGAACCAACAATATTGAATCTGTAACTATCTGCGACCGTCCATTATGTGTGGCTAAATACCATTTCGAGTATTAGGAAACTTTTCGATTGAAACCACAACGATATAATGTCCCTGACAACAAAACAAGAAGAATCAACTTACATTCACAAAAAAAAGGTAATTCACAAAATTATTATTAGTCTTCTTTTTTACTTCTTTCCTCTGCCACCTTTTGTTGCTTTATTACCAGATTTTAATTTGGAATTACTGACAGATTTTAAAGGCGGGCTAGTTCCTCTCTTTTTAGACAATTCTTTCCCGAGCTTAGCTTTTCTTAACTCTTTAGGGTTTTGTGTCTTTAAAACTGCTCCCCTTGGTTCAAAACCGGGAATTAAATTAGCGGCATTATTTAGGAGCGAGGTGTAAACAGGCTGCATTGGCCTGCTCTCTTCTGTTCCCAATTCCGAACATTCCTCGAGCCCCACTACCAATCTTCTCTCGACTAACACGTACGTTCCGGGAGTGGCCAGGAATCTGGACCCATTTAGTTGGAGATACTTCGGGAGATCTTTGGCGATACCAGCTTCATCGCACAGATCCAAGTGAGTGTAGTCAATGTTTTCTATATTGAATCTTTCTCGCATGTTGTCAAGAAGATTTGCAATGTGGCAATCGGGGTTGAAGAGGAGTTTTTCGTCATTTCCACACCTGACAACTATGAACATTGTCATATCAAATTAAGGCGTATCTTAGTTAATATTGATTGAAATGATCGATACACGTGCGAATATATCTATTTTGGGCGTTTCTAGGTGACCTCCATCTCGTAACTGAAGTTGGAAAATTCACAATATTCCTAAAAGCGCGCACGGGTACTTGCGTTGGTTGTCATAGTAACAAATCTTTTTACATGTAAAGTTGAATGTTAGCACATGCTATTTACGCCGCGCACGTCACAGTGGAAAATGTGGGCCATTTCGCAGATTTTAGTCGCGCACAATAATCGTACGTTAATCGTGCAGTTCGACGATAATCGTCTGCTGCGCGCAATTATTATACATCCCGACGATTATCGTCGATATTCGCACGATAATCGTTTCTCGCCTCTCTATCGTACGATAAACGTCAGAATGACGAGAAACGTCCAATTATTGCTCGCCCATCGAGGATAAAACTCCAAGTATGATATTTGCTTATTAATATATTATTAGCATGGTGGTTGTGATTTGAGTATGATCAGTAACTCATGTAGAATGCGTGCACATATCAAATAAGTTGATATATCTTAACAGCTACATGGTTCACCCAAGTCTGACATCTAAGTAGGTTCTAAAGCTAGGTTTTGGGAGGAACCGGTCTCTTTACCATTATTTAATATTTGATGCCTCATCAATGGGTCAGAATTAAGCTGACTTGCTTGCATTTCAGTTTCAAATACCTGAAAGTCACTTAAAACAATGCATCGAGCTGTAAGGAGCGTTATTCTCCATGTTTGCTGAATAAACGAGTTTCATTGAAACTATTTTCACTATTCAGTCGTTTTGAATCCATTTTTGACCGGAAAACTCGGAATTATGCTTGACAACTGCACGTTAATCGGTTTTAAGAGCTTCAATAAGGTTTCGTACAGGTCTAGCATTGTGTTAATCGCACACTCTTGACACGTAATCAAAATTTTAAAAGCTTCGCGCGGCGATAAAAACGCGCGTGCGCGAATCTTGTTGCAGTCGCTGCTTACGAAAACTTTTTAGTAGAATAATGAATAGGCAGCGTTTTCCGAAAGATGTGTTTCAAATATCATAATAGTGTCCGCTCATGACTTTTGCCGTGATTTAAGTTTAAGGAGATATTTCCTGGTGGCTATTTCACATTTCTTAGTCACTCTTTCCTCTTCGTTGCGAATGTGATCTGAAAATTGTCGCTGTTAAGATTCTACTGTATAGTGACTGTCTAGCATGAAAATTGAAAGGGGGAAAGAGATTATTTGTACACTTTAAACGTGATTAATGCTAATAACGAGTTGACTTAAACTTCTGTCTCCAAATGAGTTGATCAAACTGTCTTAAATTAGCTGATTTTCGTACTAGTCAGGTGTTCATGTCGCTTGAAAAGGGAATGACAGCTCTCTCCTCCTTGCTCGTTAAATGAGCCCGATAACATCCCCCACAGTATGATCTGGTCGACAAAGTGATCCTCGAGCATGTGGATCTAGTTAAATTGAAAGGTTGTTAAGAAAACGATGCTGGAGAATTACTACAATTAATCAGACTAGAATTTTCCAATATCAGACTTAAGCACGAATCCTAAATTGTTGCAGGCTATCTTGGGAGTTGGAAGAATGCCAGTTTCGCTACAAGCTACAACAATACCTTGATAGACGATGACTGTCCAAATTTCCTGTACTCCTCTAAAAAGATATCTCTCGACTGTATCAGAGTCTTTATATTCTGAGGTTCTGCCTTCCCGCTCTTGCCTCCAACAACCAAGAGATCTTTGTAGGCGGTCTTAATCCTGTCGAGGGCTAAGAGTCGATGCTGAAAATGCACCTTGTCCTGTGGTCTCAAATTCCTGAATACAGACCCTGTCATTCACGTGGTAACTTTTCAATTGCAAAGGAGATTTATCAACTCATTCGTTATTTGTTCATGAGATTAACTGTTCTGATTAAACGCAACTCACTCATTTTGGTAAAACTGTTCCCTCCAGAATTGGGAGTCGTCACTTTTCAGCAGGTATCCAGCTCTAACACCCGTCAGCGACACACCATGATAAGCCTCAGGTATTACATTAATTCCCCTCAGAAACTTCTCATATTGAGAGGAGAGCGGGCCACTGTTACATTTCGTGGCTACACGATTACCTTAAGAAGAGAATTTGCTTATTGTAACCATCTAACGAAAATACTTTCTAATTTTAATTGTTACTCGAAAACCCTCGTATTGTTTTGGAACAAGACATTTATCAAGTACCTTGCTGTATGCGGAGGATCATGGCACCGAAGTCAGTTGTGCTGCTATAACAGTTGGGGAGAAATCCGTCCGTGACGTTGCAAGCTAGCACAAAGTCAATGTCCTCGCACAATTTACCGTACTCAGTCCACAGGACAGTCCCCACTTTGATGGTCTGAGAAAGCTTAAGGTTTCGTGACTGTTTTCCACGATGAAAATTAGCTAATTCAAATAAATAAAGCACGACTGAAACAGGAATGAACATCAACAGTTTTTCAATTCGTGTCACATACTATGTGCAAGAACGGAACAGCGACCCAGTTAATCAGATCATCATTATCATTCCCGAAACAGTCTGTGAGAGGTCGCGATGCAACATGATTCAATAAAATCGGATTGAATTGGTGATTATTAGTTTCTCAACGGATAAAATCTTTTTATTAAAGTGTTGTTCAAAATGAAATTTTTTGATGCTATGTTTGAATATTCATAATTGAGGTAAGATAACTCACTGCCAGCATTTCCCCCTGAGCTCATTTGAGCCCAGGGGCTTCAGCTGATTCGTCTCAGTAAGCCCGGCGAACATTACCAGTCTCGAATTATCCATTTGAGTTCTATTGTGAATGTGTTATTACTTTTACTGATTACCAAGAGTAATTTAGTTGCGTGGTTCAAAAGTCAAAACAGTTATGATTGCAAATTACACAATTTCATGTATCTAAATAATCGTCATTAAAGTTCTGACTGCCGACTACTAAATTCCTATCACAAGGCCCGATCAGATTTATCACGTACAAAATGTAAACAATAGACTTGGCTCGTTACCAAGGAGAGCGTATCTGTCTCGAACGACATTACAGGCGCTCGATTCGTATTATGAATTCTAAGTCCATTAAAATCTGTTTTGGTGCGCGGCTCAGAAAAACGCGCTGGCGTACCGTGCCGCTTAGACATTAATTTAAATTCAATTTGACAAATGTGTTCAATTATCGCTAAAATTTGTTCACTAAACACAATAGTTAAAATAAATAATATAATTTTATAAAATCTAATTTTTCACTGTGGCAATTACTTCTCGGGTTAAACATTACACTAGGAAACTACATATTATACATTATACAAAAGATACCGGCCCGCGCGCTGCGTGCCAAACTTAGATAGATGATAAATATTTCATATTTACTACCGCTGTCTTATATCATATATGTAACTAATCTTATCAATAACAATAAATTAAAGTATCAAATTTCATTGTGAAACATGACATTTTCAATTTCATTCGTTTTGCGTTCACTACGATTACGAAGCTTGCGGAACATTACCAGTAGACTGTAAATATGAATCCGATTTCTTATTTCCATATTAAAGCATAACCGAAATACTTCCTTCGTTACATGAAATAACAAATACATTTTATTTCCATGATTTATTGTGTGATTATCGTGATATCGCTCATTATCGCCTAATAAACGTCGCGAAATAGCGTTATTCGCCAAATATGACGATTATCGTCAGATTAGACGATTATCGTGCGTTTAACGCGCGCGCGACGATTATCGTCGATAATCGTACGATTATTTTTATATCGTTTTCTGCGAAATTAAAATCCCAACATTTTCCACTGTGACGTACATGTAACTTTTGAAGATGACGTCACTGTACACGTGACCACATACAATCACAACAACTTTACTCCAGTTCTTACTCTCTGGAAGCGATTGAGGAAAGTAGCTCGCTCATGAGATTGATGTACTGTCAAAGCCAGGCTGTTCATTCGAGCCAATTAATTTTTTCAAGACTGCAGAGTGCAGTCTTACAACTGCGTCACATTTGTTTGTGAAATGTAACTGGTGTAGCTAGTCATATGTATAATTGCAGTGTACAAGGTAACTAGTCATAATTATTAATAATTGTGAAATGACATTTTTGTGTGCCGTT